TCGTCCAGTCCAGACGCTCGATCGCGCTGTTGATGCAAGCGACGGGGTCGCCGCGGTGGAGAGCGCATGACGTTGTCTTCAGAGCGACGACGACATGGCGGTCTGCCTTGGTACACGGACGATGTGCACCATGTTGGTCGAAAGTCGAAATGCGAGAAGGATCCTTCCGGATAAAGTCGTAAAAGGGTTGGGTATCCGGAATCCAAGCCGCAAACCGAACATGAATGATGCGTCCTTGGCCACGCTGCGGTGCGCAGACGCCTGTGCATGCACCAAGGGTCCATACTTGACGAATGCTATTGCTTGCAATCCTTGTACTACTACGTAGTAGTAGTAGTAGTACATGAGAAATACTGTTTCTCCAACGCATTCTCATCGGACCATGGACCTCTCGACTAATGCTATTGCTGCGCCATCGACGCCTCCGCCCACTTATTTCTCTTGTACTTGGCTAACGAGACGCCCACGGTTGTCGCGTCCGTTCACAGCAGCTTGCAAGCATCCGGATTGTCCGCACGCCACCTGCGCTGCGTTTGTTATCGCTGGGATTGGCTGAAATCGGACCGATTGCCGGAAGAGGAGGCCGAGATGCCTAGTCTCCTTTGACGCAGATCAATCGATGACGCGCAAGCAGCATGCATGGTGCCATGGCATGGCGCTGCCTTCGTCAAAGACATCACTAGCATTAGATAATATCGATATATTTTAGCATGCACGGTCTTGCCCGCCATGGGTACGCCAATCAATGCAACCGTGTCGTATGATGTCCATGGTAGCGACGCTGCTCGTCGAGTCGGAGGTCGGCGGCCGCCCCATTGCGACGCTTAAGCTCCACGCTGCGATTCATCCACATGCGTCGTCGTCGTCGGATGGTGTATAAAAACGCCGCTTTTGCCGCAATTGTTGAGACCCACAGCTGATCGTCTCAACGCCCAATGCAATTAATTGGTTAACTTCCAGAGATCTTATTGCTGCCTTCTTTCGGGCAAAAGATCGTCTTTACCACTGGCCTTACTGAAGAACATAGGACCAATCATCAACCGTGCAATGGCTTTTCGACTGCGCGATGCCACGAGATGCTACTTGCGGGAACAGAAGCGCGCGAAGGTTCGTTCACCGAGTGTCGACGCTACCCACGGTTGCTACGCCGACGCAAGACCCTTCGATGCCACATATTTGTCGCCACGAACGACAACGCAAGACACGTACATCAGCTGAAATTCGTCCGATCCCGAGTCGTCTGCGCCTCCCATTCCATTCCATCACTTGTCGTCGTCGTCTTCCTTTTCAGGAAATCGACCACGTCGGTCTTATTAACCCGGCGCCTTTTCTGCGCACGAAACCAAACACAATTATTACTGGTAGGAACCTCCTGGTTACCCAGCCCACCAGGGATTATTTGCCTGTTTGTTTGTTTGTTTGTTTGTTTGTTTGTTTGTCCCAATTTGGATTGGTTAAAATGTTGTTGCTTGCGTAAAATGATTGGACAGCTCGCAACAATTCAT